CAGTATTCTCCTGGCTTCAGGTGGCAGTGGAGGCCAACAGCTGATATGAGGAATGAATGACATCCCCGAACAGTGGCAGCAGGAGCCGGGGAATGTGTAACAAACAGGATTTTTATCCCTAAAATGTCGTCCTGAAGCGACACCACCGTTGGCAGGCGAGCTTTCTTTTGAAATACAACATGAGCAACAGGACAGATAAGTGCGCTGGTAGACCAGAGTTGGTAGAAACATCCAGTGTGAAACAGGCAGCAAGGAAGTGACAGTTAAAACAGCCCACCGTGATGCAAAGAGTGTGTTGGCACAGATGTTTTATGAATCCTGGTGCATCACTGAGTTGTCTGCCATTTGATTTTCTTTATGCATCTTCTTCTGCTTCTTCACTTTCATGATTCTTGGCTTTTTCTTCTCCATTCACTTGATTTCTGCCTCTTATGTATTTATTAAGTCACTATACACCCTTTTGTTTAAATCATTATAAAATATGAGATGAGATGAGATAAGATAAAATAATCCTTTGCTGATCTTTTAATCTGAAATTTGGATATCACAGCAACAACAGAAGTGCAGAGTGAAGAAAGGTAAAAAGAAAAGAACAAAAGAAAACAATATAATGGAATCAAATAAAGTGGATTTGAACCATTAGATGCAAAACACAATGATAATAATTACAGCAGTGCACAAAACGTCAGGCAGTCAGTACATCCACAGGTGAGTATAGAGTAAGCATTGATGATGATGATGATGATGATGATGATGATGATGATGATGATGATGATGGTGTAATCTTGATCTATGCAGTAGGATGAAATATTGCAATGTATAGTAAACAATCATAACAATATGGCACTAAGATATATAATACACACAATAGTATCTATGAAGTACATGGTACTAATAGTAACACTACTGTGTCTAAGAAGAAGAAGAAGAAAAGTAAGACACATTACATTACAACTACAAATTTCACTTAACTTTTCATCTACCAAAGGATATTTTTCCCTTTTGATTCATAATCCATCACTGCAAAAAAAAAAAAAAACATTTCATTGCTGAACAGCCACATGAATATCATTTTGTTTGATATTCGAGCGTGTAATATCGTGCATTACCAAGTCTGACTCACACGTTCCCCCTTTATTGTGCGTCTGTGTCTTTTGTGCTCAGCATGTGAGCAATGCGTTTGTGTGGGAGTCCTTCAGGCCACTGGCAGCTCTGCTGGATTCTGATTCACCGGAGCGTTGGCCACGAGCACCCCGCCTCTGAGCAGGTAGCCAGCAGCAGGTGGTCCTGATGGAGGGATGCTGGGGAGTGCACTGGTTTTGGACACTGACTGGCTGAGTGATCAAACAGCCATGGGACTGTGTCATGCAGGTCGAGTGTGGCTCCAGGCATGTTCAGCACTGTGGTGTATCATCTGCACTAACACTGCAGTCAGGTGTGATGTAGCCAAACAATGAAATACACACTAGTGAGTAAGAGCGCAGGAGAGTGCAGGATGTGAGAGTAGTGAATCATGCACTTTAAGGTTTTTGATTTGCCAAAAGAAGTTATTACAGGGTGATGATGGGAGCATGAGTCCATACGCTGTCTTTATGTGTCCAAAAACCTTCAAATCTATGTAAGCAAGGCAGTTTCATTTATAAAGCATGTTTGATACACAGAGGATTTGAGGTTCTGTACAGCGACATGAAAAACATCGCATTAAGAGCTAAATTAAGATTTAAGAGCAGAGTTCAGAACAAATTTCAAGCAAAAGTAAGGATAAAAAAGAGGTGAATAAAAGGATGAATCTGTACGAGAATTTAAATATAAGTTGAAAGAGAAAAATACAACAAATAAAATAGATAAAACTGTGTAAAATAACAAAATAAAAATAGAATGAAATACATGATGGCATGGCCTTGTAAAACAGCTTAATAAAAGGCATTTGAGAATAACAAAGTTTTCAACTTGTTTGGAGGTGTGTGAACTCTTAAATCATTCATGAAGTCTGATGAGGTGCCTGACAGGTCACATACACAGTGTGGGAGCAGATGAGTGATTCTACAGTTTAAATCAAAATGGAGAGACAGGAAAAGTTACATTAGTTCATTTAAAAATGAAATGTGTGGTCGTTGAACTCTGGTAATATTGAGGCTTCAGTTGGTGGTGTTTTGTGTTGTATTTAGGACTTTCTAATATTTTTATGTCATATATGTTTATGTATAGTTCAAACTAAGTTTTATGAAATGGTGTCAACAACCCGAATAAACATGTATTGTTGCATTGCATTTCTACTAATGTGGACATTGGAGTGTGAATGATGTGAATGTGCCTCATGCACCAGACTTCTGATCGCCTCGTGCTGAGTGTTAAAGCAAGGCAGCCAAGTTCTGAAACCTATTAATACGGATGGGAAACTCAAGAGTTCAATCCCCTCCGACTTCTTAACCCTCATCGTAGGGGCTTAAAAGAGTAAAGTTACTTCACCCCAGCGCTCACCAGTTGCAACATGAAAGAGGAATAACTTTATCCCATCAACTTTGAAGTGAAACTTGTCATCTCTGCTCAGTCTTTAGTACTCCCACATCACCTCTGCCAGATCCAAACTCACAGAGGTGTGTTTGTATGTGTGTGTATGTGTTAGTGTGAGTGTAGGGGGGTTGGGAGGGTTCACACAGGAAATAAGGTTGCCATGGTGATAGTCTGTCCCTCTGTCCCAGGGGACCCGTCATATTAGAAAGTGCCCTCCTTAGCAGTGACTTCAGCAGCCGGTTCCTGTCAGTGCCGGATCTGTGCGTCCATTGTACGCTGAGTGTGCATTAATGCCTGCTGACATTTAGCTCTGGGGCCCCTGTGAAGTGATGGGCCAAGACAGCTGTGATGGACAGCACGGTAATACTGCACATCGCGTTTAAAGAGAGAATCCCGCATGAGCCGCCGTCGCCCCACTGCTGCAGATTCAAAGGGAAACATTTTGAGGAAATAAAGATTGATGAGGCAGAAAACACATCTCAGTGCTTGTTAGCAGCCTGATTCATAATCTGAGGCGAGGCGACATCTGGCTTTGAAGTTTCTCACATTCTACAAGTCTAAGCAGGTATCTGACAGACGGCCCGCTCCTTCGTCTTAGTTTGACAAAACATGAGGGGAGCTCCAAACAAAGACTGCTGTGATACTCTCACTGCCTGCCATCGTGAACTAGGCTAATGGCTTCATCTGCAGCCAACAAGCATTTGCCTTCATTTTTCCAAATATACAATAACCTCAAATAATGCAGCACATGCATCAGCACAGTACTGCTGTGAGAAACTTTAATATGGTTCCCTCTCTTTGGGTTATTTTGAGAAGACTGTGTGAGTGATTTCTTCGAAAGGTTTGACAAGTTTCCACATGAAACAGGATCTTGGGGTGAGATTCGTGTCAGGAGGGACTGGATTTGAATATTAGAAAATGTTTTTCACGCAGGCTGATGTTTTTATTTATTGTGTTTCTCTCTTTGGATGGATGTGTTTGTCCCACTTGGACTGCAACTCTTCAACTGAGAAATGGAAAAAGACATAAACACAAACTTGACATGGCATTTTTTTCTGTTGTTCGTGTAAAAATATTATCCAACAGTTATAGAAAAACCTCCGAAGCTGCCAGATTAAAGCAAACATACAAACTAAACTACAGTTAAACATGGACAAAATTACCAAGCAACCGTCTCTGTCTTTTTGATACCACAAGTGGTCATTTCAAATAGTTACAGTAAAGTTGTGTCCTCACATCAGCACCATGGTCGACCTTTTAGTCTGAATAAAGGTCTGATGTAGACTGCGTGAACAGTTTCTAAAGAAGAAACGTTAAAAATCATAGCAGCCTTGGACAGAGACCTCCAAACGGCAGGATGTATTGAGTGTAGAATCAACACCTCAGAGAAAGATATTCCTTTATGCTTCATATATTTTGGATTACGTTTTAAAAGCCAACCAGCATGACCTTATTCAGCATGACCCTGGTTCCAGGTGTGTATTCACTGTGTGTTTGAAATATCACCAGCCTCCATTGTGTATTTCACTTTCAACACATTTATTCTCAACATGGCTCAACGTCATGTCTTTTCTTCAGCAGTATAATCTCATCATTGACAATATTCATGAGGCATGTGCAAATTGAACTCTGTGTCCTGTGCACAGATCAGTCTGGTGAGAAAAGGCCATGGGAACTGGTTTTAATTCAAGTCACACCATCAGACTTCCCATTTGAAGTGTGGATTTAAACTGAAATTACTGATCCTTCAACTTTGACCTTAGACCACAGTGTTAACGTTTCTCCCCATGCACTGCTTAATCCAGACACGTGTCAGGTCTTCGATCATGACTCAACCATGTGTTTAAATGTTTGCTTGTCTCGTTCTCTTCTTCCTGCACAGGATGTGCTCACTGCTGGTGCGCTCTCGTTTGACATATTTGAGCCGTTTAAGCGGTCATTGAGACGCAAACATGTAGCATGAGTTGAATCTGCTGGGGCTTGATGACGTGGGCTGGAGCCGAATAACCGGAGCGCACGGATGATGATGATGATGATGATGATGATGATGATGATGATGATGATGATGATGAGCGGAAGCGCCAGTGCGCACCTCCCCACAATAATCTGGCTGAGCAGCGTCGCTGTCTTTTCAGCACCACTCACTGACACTCCAACCAGGCGGAGAGGCAGCGCGAGGGAAACTCTCTTTAACCGACTGTGGATTTTTTTATCTAGATAAAAACAAACAACTTATATTTTTTTAATTGTTATTTTTTTTTGCAGGGAAGTAGATTTCAATTTTAAAACCACCTGCTGAAAGTAAGAATTTAGATTTATATATCTCTTCTCAAACAGGACTGACCATGTGGTTGGTGGATGTGTGATTTTTATAGATTTTCATCACAGGTTTTGATTTGTTTTTTTCAACTGTAAACTTGTTTTTTTAATTATTACACTTTGGAAGCCCGGACATTTGTCGAGTGTCCTCTAAGCTGCTGTTGGAAGAAGTTTATCTGAATATTTTACAGGAGACTTCAGAGAGAAGTCAGTGATTTGGGAGTCGTTTGTTTTTGCTTTTTTTTTTTTGGAATCGGTGCATTCAGTCGAGATGCTGACTTTGCTGGTTGGACTGTTGTCCCTGCTCAGTGGACACACGGCGCGAACCCAAGATGCCACAGGTAGCCGCTTCGTTTGTAACGCCATCCCCCCGGGCGCAGAGCCGGGCTGTGGATACGTTTCCACGGGGAACCGCGTCCAGAGCAGCAGCCCCGTGGAGGACGAGCTGCGGAACACGATCATCCAGCTCCGGGAGACCATCCTTCAACAGAAGGAGACCATCGTGAGCCAGCAGGGGACCATCAGGGAGCTCAACTCCAAGCTGGCTCGCTGCGAGGCGGCGGCCGATGTGTCTCCCCAGGGCAAGTCCCGGGGTCAGGGCTCCAGGCGGAAGGAGTTCGGCAAGAACACCATGGGGGACCTGCCCAGGGACCCCGGCGATACCGTAGACCAGCTCGGCAAGACCATGCAGAGTCTTAAGGGTCGGCTGGAGAACTTGGAGGTAAGATGGCACAACCGTGCGCTCGTGCGTAAACGTACCACAAAATCCCTTTTCTTCCATTTCCCACCCGAGGCAAAAGGTTAATATTGGCCACTAATACAACCAAATACATAATATATGAAATTCATCATCTCGTCCATGTCTTTCAACCTCTTTCACCAGTAGTAAAACTCCATATGGATCATTGCATACACGTCAGATAGCACTGCGCGCTGCAGGAGACCTCTCAGGGGACTCGTGAGATCAAAGGGTCACGTCATAGATCTGTCATATCAATATCTTCTTTAATTATTGAAAGAGTATTGGAGGTGGAACACACTGACTAGGAGTTATCAGGAAAAAATGTGCAACAGAAACATCTTGTCAAAGGTGTAATCATGCATGTGGTGCAGGGAATGCAATGCATCCTTGAATAATTTAACAGTGCTGTGTGTGTGTGTGTGTGTGTGTGTGTGTGTGTGTGTGTGTGTGTGTGTGTGTGTGTGTGTGTGTGTGTGTGTGTTCCACATAATGTTTTACTTGCCATCATGTGACTAATTATCCTCAGCAGCTGATGAAATTCTTTCCTGCAGATTTCACCTGCATCAGAGCACTGGATTTTTTTTTTCCTGTCGCATTTAAAATGCTTCATGATTTAGGAGATCGTAATCCTGTTGACCTGAGAGAGCTCTGCATTTCAGCCAGCCCTTTGTCTGGTCGCAGGAGACCTCACTTCTGCTGAATGCATTAATTTCATGAGACTCAGAGATCAAATTCAACTGATATTGAGGTCACCTATATGGAAATGCTTCACATATAAGGTTGATATAAGCCCTGGCTTTATCTCTTATGTCACATCAGTGGTGTCGTACATTTTTCACCATCAGACAGCCCTGATACCGTAAACAATCACAATACTTGATTTATATTCAAGGTTATGTCTATATCCAGCCTGCTGCATTGCCGACCCATCCATCTCTCCCTTCCCTTCCCCCAGCTATCTCTCCCTCTTTCCTTGATTGGACGCTTTAATACCTTGATCAAATCAAGCATACACTGCAGCTGTGCAGAATACATATTTCATTGCATTTTAATTGCATATGTATTGATCTGCATCTGCTTAACATAGTGATTGTTGCATGGTGGTGTTGCTGATCGCATTTGGCTCCCTAGAGCAGGACCTCTCTCACTAATCAAAGTCATCTGCATATGTCAACAGTTGCACTCAGGACCTCACCAGTGCTCACCTTGGCCTCCGGTGGCAGGTCACAAGGGAATATCTCACTGGAGCCGTTAAAATGGTTCCATTGAGGAAGGAAAGGCCGATTAAAAGTTTGTGAATGTGTCACGGACACGTGTCTGAATCCGAAAGTGAATCAGTTGGCAGGAAAACATCAGCATTTCTTTAGATATCTCTCAACATCTTTTATTTTGCAATACCTCTGTGTGTCACCACATGGGCCTGTGAAGTTGTCCCCTTTTTACAAAACCCCTCTGGGATCGTGCCTGGTGTGAAGTCTCTGTGACGTCACATGCGGCCCCTACATTTAATACCTGCTCCAGCCGCGAGTGTTTGGCAGGGCACCAATCGCCGTCTGCCACAGGGACACACTGTCTTCATTTTGATATTGATCAAAAACAATGATGTAAAATACACCAGACTGATACTGGTCATCTACGGCAAATCAAGGTCGTCAAGAGTGAATGGCTGTTTACCTACTAATCTACCTATCATCCATCCATTCATCAATCCATCTATCCATCTGTCGATCCGTCCATCAAGTCCTCCATCCAACCCATCTGTCTGTCTGTCTATGAACCTACCTACCCACCTACATGTCTATCTATCTATGTTTTTATCTATCTGTATCTACCTGTCTGTCTATTTTCTGCTGTTTTCCTTCAATCTTTTCTTCTCTGCCTCCCAGCAGCAAAGTTTGCGTCTCCCCAGCACAAACGTGTCAGCTGGAGGTGTCACTGCCCTGACTCCCCTGCCACCCGAGTTGCGGGAGCTGCTGCGGCAGCGTCTTGGGGCGCTGGAGACCCAGCTCCTCCGGAAAGTGGCTGAGCTTGAGGAGGAGAAGAGCCAGCTCTACAATGAAACAGCGGCCCACCGCCAACGCACAGAGAGTGCTCTCAATTCCCTCCTGGAGAGGATCACCGAGCTCGAGAAGAGTAAGCAATACAATGGGTGCTGTGAATTGCTGGTCGCATTTTCATGCCACACTTTTTTTGTCTCCCAGATTTAGCTCTAATTAGTCAATCCCTGTGGCTGTTTCTGATGATCCAAGGAAAAACCTCACAGCGTAGTTTTTTATTTTTCTCAGAGCCATTCTCGAAGCAGCTCCTGGTCTTGGAAATGAGGCCTGGAAAGCAACGCTGAATGCTTGATCAGTTTAAGAAATATAAGAGTGATGTCTGCACTCTGGGGCATCACTTTGATGCTAGATGTCAAATAACACGAATAACACAAAATATCTCAGCCCAAAGGGAAAAAAAATTCTACTCATTAGCCTTTAAGTTCAATTTAAGACAAGATAGAGCCACAGAGATTCTTATTTATATTATAATCTTTCCTTCTTTATTTTTTTTCTGTTGAGCTTTTGGTAAAAAGTGGCTTGATTTGCTTTACATAACGAGGATCCCTGGAGCTGACAGGAACTTATATGTTATAAACCTCACGGAGTTATAGCTACGCCAGATTGTTGGAACACTCCACTCCACATAGATAAAACTGTGGTTCCAGCACATAAAAATATGCAGCATGTTTCCCTGGTTAAAAAACCACCCTTTCTCTCTTCTTTTGTTTTCACTTTCTCTTTAAACTTTCAGCAGGCTCCTCTCTCCCTGTCTGTCCTTGTTTACTCTACCTCTTGTCCGTTTCTTTTCACGTTGTGTTTTAAATATTAAAACCCCTGTAATCTTTCTTTAAGTGACCAGCAGCCACATCATTTATAAATCGTGATCCAGTTTAACAGAGGCAGAGGAGAAACAGGGTCAGTTAAACCGACCCCGCCACCACTGACCCAGTATAAAACCCCTGAGTGAACTAAAGCTGCAGAGCAAAAGCCTGATAATAAAAATCGAGTTTTGTATTTCTATGTTGTGGGTCTGCATGTGGCACAACAATTTGTTCCTATAATAAGTAAAACATGATTTACATCCTCCTTTTCTTCATCATAAACTTGATATTAAGTCTTTTCCGTCAGTGCTGTGACTATGCTCGTCCCTATAAGGAGAAGATGCAAACTTTCTTGATTCTTTATTAGGAAAAGCACAATAAAAATTCATGTGCAATCATTATCATTCACAGGTAACAATGCCTTCAAGTCACCTGAGGATTTCAAGGTGTCCCTGCCTCTTCGTACCAACTACCTGTACGGCCGCATCAAGAAAAGCCTCCCAGAAATGTACGCTTTCACTGTGTGCATGTGGCTCAAGTCCAGCGCCAGTCCCGGCATCGGCACCCCGTTCTCCTATGGCGTGCCAGGCCAGGCCAATGAGATAGTCCTCATCGAATGGGGGAACAACCCCATTGAGCTGCTGGTCAATGATAAGGTAGGCCAATAATTAGAGACTGGTGCCATGCTCAGGCAATTCAGCACCTCTGATTATTTCATGCTGTCCAGATTTCCTGAGGAGGGAAGAGGAATTTTTGAGTCAGAAGCTTAGAATAATTTTTCCTTTGCCCGGCAACACTGCAGGCTGCAGTAAATGTAGATCAGCACTGATGCTAATTACATGCAGAGAATGCACAAATGTGTTCATGTCAGCATGCTCCGTGGTGAGAAAACAAGCAGATAGTTACTGTATGTACATGCAATCACAATAACGACACAGCTGAGTGGAGACTGACCATCACCACTGAATATTTAATTTTGCACCTTATAAACATTTAATATCATTGACCCACATTCAGCTCACACCCAAGAATAACAGAAATTCATTAGAGAACTTGTTCTGCCATGCGTGCTCATTTGAGGCCCTCATCTACCATGCTCTCTGTAGACACTATGTAGTAGCTACACAGTCACATACTGTGAGCTTCCCGTCCGCTGTGGGAATTTCAATTAACACAACAGAAAACAAAGTGGGAGAAACATGGATGAATATTTTACGGCATTTAGTCTTAAAAGAAAAAGAATTTTAGTTGTTATGTCAATGTGAGCTGTAAGATGGAAAATCAGATTTTTCTGTTTCCTGGTGGCGCAGCTGCTTCTGCAATGATGTCATGTTGGATTATGGGGATGATTTTGGGGGGAGAACCTTCTTGCGGTGGAGATTCTTTTTTTCCTCCCACTGTCTTGTTTACGTTGGGTGCTATTGGCACAGGCAGGTCTCCTCACAGCTTTCCCTTCACCATGCATTATACATGTGTTCAAGACAGACAGATGAGAGAGAGATGACAGGAGAAAGGAATGATTGTACCAGAGGAAAAAGGAGGATAAGGGGGCAGGTAATAGAAAAGCTGCAGAGCTAGAGAGCTGAGGATTGAGAGAGAGAAGGAGGGGAAAGATGAGAAGATGTCAGAAAAAAAGGAAAATTGGAAGAGCAACAGAGCAAGATGGAGGAGAGTGAGACTGGTGAATATGATTTGTGTATACAGCGGCACATCCATGTGTTGAACTTGTTCACAGTAATAACAGGGTCCGCTGGGGCACATTGTTTATGCAGTTCATTTGGCTGCATACAGACAAGGAAGCTGCATCGACAATATTAAAAAGCGCAACGCTGCTTATAATTTGTATTTGTGGGTGGTTACGCACAGGGAGATTCTTTGTTGTTGTAAAACAACATCCTCATCAGGAGATGCTATCTCTTTGTTCAGGAGAGGTTTTGATATTTCTGCTTTTTTTTCCTGCAACATTCAAACGAAATTCAACTTCTCCATGTTTTCATTCACATGTGGCTGCCGGGAGTTTTATATGTACTGGATTGGATCAGTCTTGCACAACATTAACTCTGAGTTCTTTTGGCAAGTGTGCATGTGTAATCTGACTCTCTGAGCTTCATAAAGCTGGTGTTATCTGGAACTTTATTTTCCAAATTTTAGATACAAATTCAAGCAGTTCTGTGCAGATTTTACTCATTAAAATTCAAATGGTCCAATTCATGCGTCACTCTTGGTTGTTGGCAGATACTGTAGTGACTACTCCTCCTACATGAGCCTTCAAAACATTATACACTTATCTCCAGAACAGTGCGTTTGAGGTAGAGGACTACATCTAATTGTTAATTTTAGACATAGGTTATTTATTGTACCGTTTTTTCCGGAACAGACACCACAGCAGCAGAAGCATAGAAGAAACTATGTCTTTGTTCATTTTATGTATAAGTCATAGAACTGGTTTTGCACATTTTCACTGAATGGGACACAGAAGAAACACACACCTGTGATTTTCCTCCTACAAGGACAGAAACAATTTCTACACTGAAAAATGCTTATATGAAAATAACATTTCTACAATATAATGAGTAAAATTATACCTTTTAATGTTTTGAGGATGAGATCCTTTCCCTGCAGTTGCAGTGTTTCAATAAAAAGCTCAATATCATGTCTGTCGTATATTGAGTGCAGCAGATTGTTTTTATTTTACAGGAATTTGGTTTTCATTTGAAGTCCCTAAATCTTTAAAGAGTCAGTGGAGCTCAGACTCCAACTTATTGAGACTTTGTAATAATACTGCCAGCATTGCCTGTAGTCCCACTGGTGTTAAGATGCCACCTGCTGCCTCAACCTGGTCAATTGCGTGTCGTAATTGCGAGCAGCTTGAACTTTATCCTCGACGACTCTTTTCAGGTTTATTTGTATCTGGCGCAATATCTGCAGCAACACATGAGTGTGAACTAACTCTGTAGGCTCATTAAAAAAGGCTAATGAGTTATAATCTCATGTGCTGTTCCCTATCCTCGGAGGACCATGATGTCATTGGTCTATAAAATAACCAGTTGTTTTGCTTTGATCTGTGAACAAAGCACTAAAGCTTAGGAGGACACTGTTTTGCTATTAGCAACCCGACCACTCTGAAAGATGTTTTATCCCCTGATGTCACCTGGGTAATCTAAATTTTATATGTCGCACCGGATCATCTGAAAAATTCTCCTTCTCTTTGAAGTCTCTAACCCCCTCTAATTGCTGTCCCTGTTTCCAACGCGCTACAATTAATCTCAAACCTCTCTTGACTCTTCTTCCCCCCTTGCTTTACCTCCCTTCCCTATTCCTTGCACTTTACCTTTACCACCCAACCAGGTGGCCCAGCTCCCTCTGTCAGTGAGTGACGGGCGCTGGCATCACATCTGCATCACCTGGACAACTAGAGACGGCTTCTGGGAGGCGTACCAGGATGGGGAGCGTCTAGGCACCGGTGACAACCTGGCCCCCTGGCACCCAATTAAACCTGGAGGGGTGATCATCCTGGGCCAAGAGCAGGTGAGAGAAGCTTAGAGAACAGTTGGGTGTGCATTTGCAAGTGTGTGTGTGTGTGTGTGTGTGTGTGTGTGTTTGTGTGTGTATGTCAGTAAGATCCCTTTGCGTATTCTCCCCTGAGCTCAGTGCCGGAGGCTAAGACCCAGGGAGCAGCAGAGAGGAGGCAGAGAAACTCTTCTCACGCTATCATGGCCCTTTAAGTGTTACCTCATTCATCTACCTTTAAACTGCACCATTATGCCCCTGGGAGTTGCATTAGCAGGTTCTTCTGTCAGTTAGCTCCATGACAGCCCCTCGTATGCTTAAGAAATGTGCAGTGACGTGTGAATAATTTCCACAGAGAGCCTTTAATTCATTCTGCATTAGTTTGGAGTCTAAAAAGGGCCGTGCTGCTTTGTGATTCAGTCATACACACACAAGGTGAGATTTCTGCAGATTGCACAATATTGGAGATTTCACACCACTTGAATGTTTTAAAGTGGCAGTACACTGAGACATATCCAGCGTCGTTTGGCATTTTGATGAAAATCAAACAGAATTGATTAATTTTAATCAAATTCTGTTTACATTTCCCTCAGAAGTTAACTTCACAAACATTCATTTTCTGTCCCCTAATGAAGGATGTAGTCGGAGGTCGTTTCGACGCCACTCAGGCCTTTGTGGGCGAGCTGAGCCAGTTCAACATGTGGGACCGAGTGCTGCGGTCTGTGGACATCGTGGGTCTGGCCAACTGCTCGGCCTACATGCCCGGCAACGTGGTTCCTTGGATTGATGCTAACGTGGAAGTGTTCGGCGGTGCAACTAAAGCTGCTCTGGAGATCTGTGAAGATCGTGCTTTTGATTCCTAAAGGATCTTATGTGAGGAAACCAGTTTGGCCACTGGGACTGAGAAGCTAAGTATTCTGACTGCTTGCTGCTTCTGTCAAATCCCAAAGGACAAGGCATCAGTGCAACATTTTTACATATGGTCTGACTGTGTAGTTTATTGGGCTCACATGTTGATGTGTCTTTCCAAACTGAATCCTAAAGACTTTACAGGATTGTTAAGACGTGACCTACTGTCATTCTGTGTTCTCTCTTCAGTAGATCAGCTTTCATTTGACTCCTCTGTGAAAACAGCTCTTTTTGGTTGCAATCCATACACTGACAATGCTGCACTGTTTCCGTAGTGAATGTGAGCTCAAACAGACTTTGATGCGTGATGGAACACATCTCCTGAGTGTTCCAGAGCACTACATGCTGTGAGCTTCCTCGTTGTTTGAAGAGCAATGAGGCACCGAACCCAAAGCGGAGAAAGAAATAACACGGAGGCTCTGGAGTTCAAAGTGGCCAAGAACAACCCTTTGCTGTTGATTATATTGAGGCGTCCCAACATGGCGGACTGTCCAACTCTCTTGCAGGAGAACTGAGCGGGGAATTGAGGTCCAATTCAGAAGTGACAGTGCATGCTTTCTGTCAATACCCAGAGTGTGTGTGGTGTGTCCAAACAAGCCAATGCAGCGTGCTTACAAAATTATATAAGCACGTGTGTTTGTGTGTGTGTGCGTCCATGTGCGTATGGCTTGTCTTGCGTGTAAAAAGACCAGAGATTATGAGGGAGGGAGGACATTTTCATTCTTGTAAATCTATGCTTAATACCTCTCTCCCCCTTGAGCAGATGCCATATCCCAAACAGCTTTATGGATGGGCTGGCTCTGCTCAGGTTAATAGCAGTGTCGGACAGCTGCCCAGGACTGGCGTATCGACAGCGGCATGGACGCCAGCCGAGCGCCCAGTGAGGGCAGGGCCTCGGCTTGACCTTCAAGGACAATCCTTATTCCCTCATCTGGGTAGTAATTATCTGTGTTTATGAATGATTCTGGCAGCGAGCAGCCCCTGGGCCCCTCAGTGTTTCTCTCAGCTAAGATTGTCATAATCGATAAAATATTGAGATTGAGAAGTCAAATGAGATCAGCACTATATTTGACATTATGAATGTCACCATCAGATGCACTTTGATGTTTATTGCCTCTCCCAAAAAAAAGAGAATAGTTTTGATCCATGGATATATTATATTTTTTAAGGACATAGGGAATCAATTAATTCTGGCACGGCTCAGTGAATAAAAATGATGCTTTCTGCAGCTTATTTTTTGTCAGTCCTCAATGTTGCTGTTTGTTTTTCATAAACAGTTTGAAATATTCAAAGCAAAGTTTGGTGCTGAAGCCCCATAAGAAAATGAATATACTGTCAAAGAGGCAACATAGACTTTGGTTTCACATCCAGAACTTTTTCTCCTAGTGGACTTTCCTCACTGAGTAGACAATAGTATAAAATTCACTGAAAAAGTTTCTTATCTACATAAAAACAATCTATGATGCAGTAGGTTACTGGACAGCACAGAATGTTATAAAAAGTGCGCTCACTCAACATTAGGTCTTGAATATGTCACCAACATGTTGTGATTGTTGCTCTTCTGAGTGTCTTTGTTGAAAATATTCTAGTGTAAACTCAAGAGTTTTCTTTCCTGTAGCAAATGTATTTTTCTTGTTTTTCTGCTCATGATTTTTGTCCATCAGCAGCTCGTTATGTAATAATTAAGCAGAAGTACTAAAAAAAAACTTTGTCTAAATGGTGAATGGCCTTTTGTGAGAACCATATGTGCTTTCGCTTGTGCAAAATGTGAACGTCTTCCCAGCTTTTGCAGAACAAACTCTAGCAGGGCAGAAAATGAAAAAGAATAGCAGTGTAGGTTCTGCACTTTTCTGCCATGGGAATATCCTCTCTGCACCTGATAGAGGGAATATGTTTCAGAGGTGACAATTACAGCAGCAACTCAGTAATGTGATGGAATTGTGCAGCTTTAGGTCATATTAACTTTTAAGCTTTCATTTGAAAATGGCCTTTTCAAACTGAAATGATCTCTGTTGTTTTGGTTGTGTATCAGTTTTAATCACCGTCCATGCTAACACTCCAGTAAACGCAAATCATGTTACCTCTCACATGCATGTGCCTACAAGTGGACATGGAAAGCTTTAGCGTTGAAAAATACAGAATTTAACTGTTAGCAAAGACAACAGTGTCAGCAATGCTTGTAATTGATGCTGCATTTTACTGACAAATGACAAATCAGCGAAGGCTACGTTGTGACTGAAAAGACTCAATCCGAGAGCGGTTGTGAGTGTCCACGTCAGGACTAAAAACACAGAATGGGGCCAGAAGCATTTCCAGAATTCTCAGTTTTAGCTTCTCTAAAACTTTGGAGTAGTGTAGACACCAGGCGAGTTTTCAAGCGAAAGCGTAGTTGTGTGGATGAAGCCTTAGTCAGAGTGTAACCAAGCCAAGGTCATGCACCATTTTGCACTGAAACACCACGGAGATTAACAAAGCTCACTATTTTGTACTTTTGGTCACATTAATTCAAATGATGTTTGTCCAGTGTGTAGTCATATCAGTGGTCGGACAAGCCATAATACACATGGAAGATTGTGCCCTCTCATCTGGGCACTGTAATGTCAGCAGCGGAGAAATCCTCTGGACTGGCAGACGTCCAGGTGGAAATGAAAAAATCTGCCCGTGCGGATTATGGAAGCTGCTACAATGTAGGACACTGTGAGCCGCCTTCTTTCTCCTCCATGCTGTGTGTCGCTGGTACCGCCATTGTGTTCATGATGTACTGGGTGTATCTGAGTCCTCCGATGAAAAACTGAAAATGTGAAAAATATATGTGTGATGTTATTGTTATTTTTGGAATATCTTAAATCTTAGATTTCCGTTGCATCGCTGCCATAACACTTCACATCTGATGTTCTCAAGTGCAAATTAATTATTAAAGGGAAAATATTCGAACTCTAAATGAATGATTAATACTTTAGTTTGTAAAACACACAAAGTAGAATCTTTCCAGAAGTTTGAAGAAGAACAACCACTGCAGATATGATGACAATAAGAAATGTGTGGCTCCTCGTCAAATCTTTTTATGCTTGGATGTAAGAGATAAAATGAGACGTCCAGAGAATTTCAGATTTTCATCTCTTGTGCTACAAAACAGTTCTCAACTCTTTCATCCTGTGTTTGTCTCATCCCGTCTCATCGTCCATCATATTGTTAATGCAGAAGAACAAGAAAATGTGTTGGCAGTAGAGGAAGTGATGGGCGGTGATGGGAATCCAACCAAAGATGTTTGTACTGCGAGCTTCTGACAAACTGATTGCTGCTGTGACATCCTAACTCCCGCTTTAATTGCAGCCATTCTCCCTCTGGTTTGTCGAGTGTGTGTGCGTAAGACGAATGATCTTCCAGAAGGTGTCGCATGGCAGTAATGAAATCTAACTGAGCGGGGAATTGAAGTGAATAACATGTTTCAATATTATGGATATCATCTGTCTCTGTGACAGCGCTGTGATTCAACAGGATAAACAATGTGTGTGTTGGTGTGTCAGTGCACGTGGGTATGTGACAGAAAGCAACACTTTGCTGGTGTGTTGGCTCTGAGGAGATTTGTTCCACTTATTGAGTTTTTTCTTCTCCCACTGTGGGGAAGTTTGAAACAGAGAATTTCCAAGCAGGTTTTTTTTGAGGAAATTATCTCAGCAGCTGCTGCAGCCAATGTAATGATAACATCACTAGAACAAAATTACCTATTCAGCTGTGCTCCCAGCTTGTCCATATATCCATTACACATTGCTGGATAGAGTGACAGTGAAGAATTATTTGGCACATCTTTTATTAAAGCCTTCTCTCACGTCCACATGATCTCGTCTCAGTGCTCTGGATCTACTTGCTTCCCCCCAACATCGCCCGGCGTAGAAAGTGTGTGAAAAGCCCATAATTAAAATCAAATCACACTGAGTGTATTTGATTATCACAGGGTACATGTACGGATCTGTGAGAGATTGGTGCTGGGAGGGGGGTAGAATTAAAGTGCCATTCTGCTCCTAGCACCCTCTCTCTTGCACACGGAGTCCCCACGGAGCCCCAAAGACGGAGCGCTGTAAAGACTGTGAGAAAAACAAGTTTAAGAATTGAGACCAGAGAAGTCCTTTGGCTTAGTGATTAAAGCCTGATGGAAGAGAAGCCTGAGCAGAAGGCAACGCTCTCTGAGGCATTTGAAAACTGCTGTTTTCTTGGATGTCACAGACTATTAGTGAGACCCGCAAAGCCCCTTCAGCCTGTTTTACTGCCTTTATGAAATTATGCATCAAAAAATGTTATATTCTGTTCACATCTCTGGATCTGTCTGGCAGCCATTTTTAGATTGTGCACGGAGGCACTCTCACTTTTTGGCCTCGTTTTGTGCAAGACAATATGTTGTCTTCACTAACTCAAATACGATCAGCATTGTCCTCTTATTTTAGGGTTGGTGCACAGTCAGTCTTTAAAGGGAAGAGGCTTTACTCACGTGTTCCTGTTCTGTGGGATATAGGAGAGAAAATGAGATGTTGTCCTGTGGAAATGAGAATAAAATGGTTGACAACATGATGATATGTGGGGATGGAAGAGACAAATTAATCAGCCCAAGAGAGGAAGCAGCTGCTTTATGGCAGTTTGTAGTGCTACCTCTCTGAAGATCAAACGGCCTGCAGAGGCTAAATGAAGATATTCATTCACCTTTATTTTGCTCAGCATTGCACAGTATATTTCCAAGAAGAGTGGAAAATCGTAAACCTGTCACTTCTTCATGCTCAGATTACAAACCTCCACGGAGCCACCGCTGGAATATAAAGTGTTTAACCCGAACGCAGTCCATTCTAAATGCCTTGTCTGATCTCACATCTTTGTTGTCTATTTCCGAGGATGATATAATGTATTCCTTCAAGGGATCGTTTACATTTATTCGAGATTTCTGCAGAGGAAACTTTAATAATAA